TGTACTCAACCATGTGATTTTAATGATTTTTTAGTCTTCGATAAAGAACCATGTGCAGTAGCACCAGCTGAAAAAAAAATTGAGTTCATTATTAACAGATAAAACAATTGAAGCATTAGCCTTTCCTCATTTATTTCCAAATGGACAAGGCTCATATGATGAAGAACGTGAAACAAATCTACAATGGAAAGAATATTGTAAAGCACGTCTATACTCATCAGATTCTCGCTTTGCTACTGATTCAAGTTATATCTTTTATCTACAGTATTTAGGCGATTTAAAACAAGTGTACTCTGGAATTAACATTGCTTTCCGAAAAAAATTACCAATGAGTGCTAAACAAAGTTTGGATGAAATGCAAATGAAATTTCTAATGAATAAAGATATGATATATCATCATTTGCGATCAGTGCGAGGTAGTCCACAATATTGGCATCAACGTCTAAAAGATTTATTCGGAATGACACGCCAACTAGGTTTTCCAACTTTTTTTATTACTTTGTCATGTGCTGATTTACGTTGGAAAGAATTTGTTTATACATTTGTGCGTCACACAGGACTTCCAGTTAAAGAATCATATACATTTGAAGAAAAAACAAAACTTTTAAGAGCAAATCCTGTTCTAGCTGCTCGTCTGTTTGAAAGAAGATTTATGTCTTTTATGAATTTATTTATTAAAGGTGGAGCATGGTGTGTCAGAAATGTAAAAGACTGGTTTGCTCGTATAGAAATGCAATTACGAGGTTCACCACATTCACATATGCCAATCTGGGTAGAAGGTGCACCTAAGTACAATGGACCTCAAACAGATGAAAAAACTCGTGAAGAGATTGTGAAATTTTGTGACAAATACATCACGACTCGATTTCCATCGTTAGATGAAGATGCTGAATTACACAATAGTATCAAAGAAGTACAAACTCATTCTCGTAATCATTCAAAGCGTTGTTTAAAATATCATAATACTTTGTGTGTTTTCGGATTTCCACGTGCTGTTTCTAGACGGACATTCATATGTGAACCATTCAAAGCTGATAATGATGACGATAAACAATATTGTAAAAAAGTAAAAGAAATTCTTACTGAAATGAATGGAACCATGAACACATTAGAAAAAGAGAAAATGTTGTCATGGTCCGATT